TTTAATTGCTTCCTTTGTCCCCAGTTTGGTTGAATTGTGTCAAATTCATCCTCATTTTTAAAAAAGTTTCATTGTCATCCTCACGTGGTGTAAAAGTTTCATTGTCGTCCTCACGTGGTGTAAAAGTGTCAATTGAATCCAAACATAGAAAAAATTTGTGTCAAAGTAGTCATTTTTCCTATATATCTGTGTCTTCCTTTCATACAATCAAGTACAGATATTCATTTTACCTTATCCAATTTAAGGCTTTTCATAGCTCCAGAGAAGTGACATATGAAAGGAAGACACAGAGATATAGGAAAAATGACTACTTTGACACAAATTTTTTCTATGTTTGGATTCAATTGACACTTTTATACCACGTGATGTTTGGATTCAATTGACACTTTTATACCACGTGAGGACGACAATGAAACTTTTTTAAAAATGAGGATGAATTTGACACAATTCAACCAAACTGGGGACAAAGGAAGCAATTAAACCTTGTATATAAGTCTTAATAAATATTTTTATTAAATATTTTTAACAAGATTAAGTTTATTTATATTTATATTTAATTAATTATATAAATGTTAATTATGTTATTTAAATATACCTATAAATAAGGGTTTAAAAAAAAGAGACATGACATGCTAGTGTGATTTTTTATGGAGAAAGTTCTCGTGGAAGATCATGAAAGAGAAACTACCTTTAATTATCATTTTCACGAAAACTTTCTCCAATTTTTTATTTAAGAAAAAAATGAAATTTCACATTAATAATTTATTCAATGAACTAAATTATTTGAAAAATTCACACCACCATGTTATGCTACTGTTTTCTTTTAACTCTTATAGGTATATTTAAAGAACATAATTAACATTTATATAATTAATTAAATAAAAATATAAACAAATTTAATTCTTTTAAAAATATTTAATAAAAATATCAATTTTAATAAGAATATTTGTTAAAATTTATATAAAAATGAAATTTTATTTGAATTTGGAGAGGGACAAAATTGTTTAATTTTTAAAATTAGGACTAAATTGAGACAAAATAAGAATAGAGAGACCAAATTGAGACAAAATAAAAGTAAATGAATCAAATTGAAACAAAATAAAAATACAAGATCAAACTGAAACTAATGCAATGACATGTGACCTCACAATAATACGTGAAATGTCACGCTGTTATTGTTACATGACACAGTGTCAGTTTGACACGTGATATTTTTATTTTATTTAAAAAAAAAATAAAAAAAATAAAAAATAAAAAATTTAAAAAAACCACGAGGTGAGACTTTCTTTAACTGTGTTAGTAATGCTAAAAATTTATTTTACAGACTTTTTTGTTTCCACATAGATAAGTTTTGCTGAAGTTTCGTATAAAACACAACTATTTTTATTAAGCACTCTCCACACATACAATAAATAGAATGCGCATATTTTAAATTGTAAGGAAAAGGCTATTTCTTTTTTCTTTCATTCCTATTTTACTCACCTTTTACTACACAAGGATAGAGTCTAAGGTTTATTAGTACAATAAATTTATGTTTTTGTTTCCAATTTTTTCTAAGAATTTTATGATAATTTGGATATGATACCAGGTGGCTCATTCTATAATCTTAAAGGAACATCAAATTAGTTGTATTTTCTTTCTTACTTGATCCTGTATTTTAAATGACCATATTTACATATTTATATTTTAGTTGGTCAGCAGTTAATTAAATGATTGATTTGCAACACAAGCACATCTTTCATCTTAACAGTTAACAATGCTCATTGCAAATGATTTTGTTATGAACATTTAACTTTTAAAATAAGTTGTGGCTGGAATATGTTAGTTCAATTTATTTGAATTATGATTTCTTCATCTCAAATTAAAAGTAAAATTGAAAAGACACAATGAAACAATACTGCTTAGTAAAAAAGTATATGCATTTTATTCATATAATTATCAGTACAAATTTTTTTAAAATAAATAAAATAAAAAATGAACGTGAGTTTACACGTACTTTTATATGATAAATTTATAAAATTAAAATAATATAAAAGTTATTTAATTAACGTATCATTTAATTAAAAAAAATTCTTTCGATTAAACTTTTTGAATTTTTGAAGACTCAATAAAAACACTAAAATTTAATAGAGAATCAATTCAAACTTCCTACTCGGAGTTAAAACTTAAATAAACATATATCAATTACTGTATTAAAAAATAACATTTTACTTTCTATTATTTAGTCGTCTCCTATTTTTAGTGTCACTATAATTAAATTGAAATTTATGTGGCTACATTGTGGTATTACAGAGGGAAAGCAAAGGATGTTTGAAAAGAGATTTGTTTGGAAATTATGACTTTGATCTTTGAAGTTGTAAGTTTCTGCGCCATAAAAAAAAGTGAAACAATTACTTAATTTCCTTTCATTTCGATAATTCACGCCTTATCTATCAAACACCAAGACTGCACTATACAAAGCTGCCATGCCGATGGCGATGACGGCGTCGCAGTTGCGGTGGGGATGGAGGCCGCCGCCGAAGCATCAACGGCGTCCTATGGCTCCGGTGGTCTGTTCAGTGGCTATAGAGAACGCGCAGAAGAAAGAGAGAGCGAGACTAAAAACACTTTTCGAAGAAGCGTACGAGAGGTGCCGCACTGCTCCCACTGAAGGCGTCTCCTTCAGCCTCCAGCAATTCACGGACGCTCTCGACAAATATGACTACGAATCCGAAGTTGGCACTAAGGCACGTTCCTTTCCCTTTACCATCCAAAAATGGTTTTGAAGTTGTTTGTGGTTGAGAGTGTTTTGTGTTTACGGCATTTGCTAATTGATTGTGTATGAAGAAAATGAAAGAGGGGCGAGAGGTTTTAAAGTGTGGTTGTAGTTGCTGTTTTGTCTCTGTCCATGTGTTGTAGAGAATTATGGACAAATTGCTGATGTGACCAATTTAGGTTATATAGTTATTCTTGATTTTATAAAAAATTGTAGAAAATGCAGCTGATGTAGCGCAAGTGGTAGAGACCCTAAATATCTAGTAGGGTTGAGGACTGAATTTTGGATTCTTGGGAGGGGTTTGTAATTGTAGCCTGAATTATACTTAAGTCCTATCTGGATAAACTTCTTCGTAAGAGATGATTGGATACACGTTTTTATACATGCAAGAGAGAACATAAAAAGGTAAAATGAACTGAGTTCGCAGAAAATAATACCTAACCGGAGAAACTCAAATTCTTTTTTCCTTACATATTTTCTTCTTTAACTGGTGTTTACAAGGAAGTTTATCTTAATAGGGCCTAGTACATTTTACATTTTTTTTCCCTCACATGTTTTCTTTAATAAGTGTTTACAAAGAAGTTATCTTAATGGGGTGTAGTACATTTTAGTTTACCCTTGCATTTTGAGGGTTTTCGAAATGAACTAGTGATGGTTGCTGTTTGGTTTTTCAGGTTAAGGGCACTGTTTTTGCCACAGATGCGGGTGGAGCTTATGTTGACATTACTGCAAAGTCCACAGCCTACTTGCCGCTGCAAGAGGCTTGCATTAGCAGAATTAAGAAAGTTGAAGAAGCAGGTATAGTTCCTGGGTTGAGGGAGGAATTTATGATCATTGGTGAGAATGGAACGGATGATACATTGATCCTGAGTTTGAGGTCTATCCAATATGACCTTGCATGGGAGCGCTGTAGACAACTGCAGGCTGAAGATGCTGTTGTCAAGGGTAAGGTGGGTTTTGCTAACTGAGAAACTTAATTCGGTTAGGATTTGGCTTATAACTTATCTGTTTTTTTCAAGTCTTATTTGTTATGACATCGATTTGTGGAAATCTTTCAAGTAAAAATTACAGAGTAAAGCATAAGAAAAATTGATTCTGTTACCTTTGAGAATTTGTTTATTTGATCGTGGATTGCATTAACTGTTTCATTTCCCTATCCATCTCTATCTTCTGACTTACGTATATTGTATGGCTGGCAGGTTGTCAGTGCAAACAAAGGCGGTCTGGTGGCTCAAGTGGAAGGCCTCAAGGGTTTTGTTCCATTTTCACAGATATCAGCGGTAAGCTTCTTTGACATTCATGGACTGGCATGAATTATATTCAACTTGTAGCAAGAGCTCAACATATTGGCATTAATGAAAGTATAATAAGGGCTTTGGTGGGAGCAAGATTGAATATGGTTAACTTAATTGTGGGTATTTCAAAAGATGTAAATCTCAAAAGCATATTAACAAAAGGTGTATAAATGAGTTGAACTGCACTGAACACTTGAAACTCAGACTTGGCTTGCATAAAAGTACGGTGCTCAAGCTTGGCTCAGAGTTAAAACTTTGGCTTGACTTGTTAGGAAGTATAAAGCTTCAGTTTGACTTGTTTAACTCATTTATAACTTTTCTTTATCAAATATATTCTTAATGATTTTCTTAATTTTATCAGTATTGTATTTAACAGACATTTTCTTTACAAAAAGAAGTAGAAGTAAGACGTGAAAGAGAGTATTTGAACATAGAAGTTATATATAATCATAATTTTTTTAGATCAATCACATTTTATTATTATTTTATTTACATACACATGTACAAGGTATTCTTGAGCCTTTAATGTCAAGCCTAATTATTTCAAGGTAGCTTGACCTATCCAAGTCGAAAGTCAAAAGCTTGAGTTTGTTTTGCTTGTTATGTGCTTCATCAAACATTTAACGGGTGGAGTTTCAATATTTCACAAATAACTCAACTCATTTATATTCCTAAATGATATGGAGAATAACAAAGCCATAATAGAATAGTTCTTTGACAAGTATCGATCACTACTAAACTTATAAATGTCCAACTTCCACTAACATCAATATTGAAATTGTTTGATGCAATTTTACTAACAATACTTCTATCCTTCAATAAATTAATGTAGATTATTTTGGGTAAATAGAAAGTTTCATGTCATGTTCATTCTTCTGTCTTATTGTAAAAAATTACAATTTCAGCAGCACACTCAAGCAATTTCCCTTTTGCCTCTTTTCTCCTTAGAAATCAACTGGAGAAGAGCTTCTTGAGCAGGAGATTTCTTTTAAGTTTGTGGAGGTGGATGAGGAACAGTCTAGACTTGTCCTCAGTCACCGCAAAGCTGTGGCTGAGAGCCAAGGACAGTTAGGAATTGGATCCGTAGTCATTGGCTCTGTTCAAAGCATAAAGCCATACGGTGCCTTCGTTGACATTGGTGGAATCAGTGGCCTCCTTCATGTCAGTCAGATCAGTCATGACCGTATAACTGACATTGCGACTGTTCTTCAACCTGGTGATATTCTGAAGGTAAACCTATGATAAGCTACACTGTATTTGCTTGGAATCACAGCTGTTATGTGAACATAAAATCTCATTTGTTGTTTGGTTAGGTGATGATCTTAAGTCATGATCGGCAGAGAGGACGTGTAAGTCTTTCCACAAAGAAGTTGGAACCCTCACCTGGTGACATGATTCGCAACCCAAAGCTTGTCTTTGAGAAGGTATAATTCAAAAGAAGTAAATCAAGATTTTTGCCTGCTAGTCGTATAAAATAAATTATGATTGTAGCACTCAAAGTGGCTTCACTTGTCATGGTTTATTTTAAGTTTACCACTTCCTGCTTCTCTCCTCTTGATTGATATCGTAGAACAGCCAAAATACAGGGTTCCTTTGATTATGTTATAACTTCTTTCTATCTCTTGCTTTCTGTGACAAATCTAATCAAACCTTCTCATTATATTTGAAAAAAAGGCACCCTTATAATTCTAAATTTGTTTTTTACAGGCGGAGGAGATGGCTCAGACATTCAGACAGAGAATCGCACAAGCAGAAGCTATGGCTCGTGCTGATATGCTCAGGTTCCAGCCAGAGGTATTTATTTGTTCAAAATCTCATCTCAATGATTGATACTGAACGGAGTTCTAGCCTAGTTAGATTGCAGTAGGTACAGTGACGAATTAGCATTTTCGCTTTTGTTAAAAAAAGTAAAGTCACATACTTCTGCTGACTATAAGCATTATAGATTCTGAAATGACTATTTAAATGGTGTTTTGGTGGTCCTTTTTAGTGGATGAAATACGAAAGTGTTATATGCATTTCAATTCTGATGATCCTAGTTAGGATACCGGTAGTTTTGATATTTTGGAGTTTGGAGTCCTGAATGACTCATTTTACTGACTAAAGATATATGAATATATTCTTGCTTCCAACTATTACAAGTTTCATCTTTGAGTTGGATATATTTATTTGATCACGTTATAGCATTCATGCATACTTATAGAGATGCACTGCTTGTTCATTGGGTGAACCTATTTCATACCTATCCTTTTTGTTTACAGGGTGGATTAGGTCTCAGCGGTGAGGGAATCTTAGGACCACTTTCTTCAGACTTGCCTCCAGAGGGAGTGAATCTGAGTGAGGTACCCCTGGCTCAAGAGTCATGATTCTGAACTGAGAGCCTTTTGTTTTTCTTTTTTATACCTTGATCTGAATATTGTTGTAGAAAGACGAACCTAATGTAAAGACCGGTTTTGTAGCAACTCATTTTTGTAGAATAGGCTGTTGTAGAACTCTTCATTTTCTCTCTAAATTATTTCGAGCTATTGTCGCTGTTATCTTTGATTAGATTGAAAATAGTGAAAACCAGTTCAAAAACAAGATTTACATATTTGTCTCTGATAACTTCATCATTACCAACTGCTACAGACCAAGAGTATCTCTTGTGTGGCTTCTTATAAGCAACACATAATTTTTAAGTAGTTTATGCAAGTTTTGCTTAGTAAGAACTCACACTTTTATAATTTCTTATTTACATTTTATTTTTTGACAGCTTAAAAGTAATTTAATTATTATTTGTTTTAATTTTTTATTCTTATTTTTCTTGTTAAATATGATTTCCTGTATAAATTCCTGTTGTCACATTTTACTACAATTTTTTATAAGACAACTATTTTTTTATAAACAATTGGTTAAGGACTCTATTGGAAATACTCTAATATGTTATACCCAACTATAATTAAGGTTCTTTTATTTTTAAATATTTAAAAATTGTATTGTAAAAAGTAGAAGCCGCCACCGTTTCATTAAAATTATTATACTTTATTGCAGTAAACAAAAAACATAGTTTAAATAAATCTTAGAACATATATAAAGTTTCTTGTTTGATTACTCCTGTTATGGTTAATCATTTTATATAAATATTTAAGAGGAGGTGGACAGAAAGGATTCAAGAGACAAGTTTATATATTTTTTAAATCGTACTAATTATATTTTAATGGATTTGAGTAAATTTTCCGAAAAACTGTCACATCTTTTTTATAGTTTTAAGTTCTTTCATGTTTTAAAATGTTTTTTTTATATTTATAACTTAATTTAATTATTAGATTTTAGTTTCAATAACAGTACTCAAAATTTGTTGTTATCGCATGTTATTGATAACATATCCTTTTCTGTAATTCTTTTTACATCCAATTTTTTTTCTGAATTATTGGTAAAATTCCTGTGATAATCCAAGCAAGAAGCAAAAGTCACGTACCCATAATTTTGTAATTATATTTCATGACAGTGAGCGCACTAACTAGTTGAGGGGTAGGGTATATGTTAATTATATTTCATGACAAACACATCTTACTAATTTCTGTAAAATTCCTTCAATTTTGCAAATATTTTTTTATTCAAATATAAAATTTTACAGGACTTTAGAAGCATAAAATAATTCTTCTAATTTTGAGATATTTAGCAAAAAAATTTGATAAAATTTAAAAGACATGAGCTTAGAATTTTAACAGGAAAAACTTCTAGTTTGGTAAAATTTAATTTGTTGGTTAACTTAAGTTGAAGAATGTGATTCAACATGTGAAGATTTAGAGCAGAATGTAATAATTTGAAATTTTAATATATGATTATTTAATATATAAAAACTTTTAGAAGTATTAACCTTATTAAAATGTTTGTATATAATTATTTAATAAATTAAAAATACTGAAATTTAAAATATATTAAAAGTTAATTACATTTTTCTTATATATTTTTATTTCATGAACTTTTTTTAATGATTATTTTTTTTTGGTTTTATAAGTTTTTACCCTAACTCATAAGTTAAGACCAAATATCTGAAGAGGCCAAATTGACATCTAGATTTAAATAAAAGACTGATTTGACATAGTTAACGAATCAAACTTATTTGAAATTAAAATTGCATTTGAAAGAAATAAAATTTAACTAATTTATATACAGATTACAATACAATTAGACTTACAGCTTAATAAGAATAAAACTAAATAAAAAAATGTTTTTTCATTTACGAACAGTTTCTAAAATTTAAAAGATTGTTAAATAAAAGCATTGTCGTTCGATGATGAAAACTCATATTTACAATATAAGAGACTATTTTCTGAATAAAATCGAGAGACAGTACTGTTCTATGACTGTAGGGCAGAAAACCAAACAGGATATAAAACTGACGGGAAGAAAACTTCCTTAAGGTTCGAAATTAGGAAGGATATACAATATACAAATTTCTAAACTCAAGCTAAAGAAAAGAAACAGAAACAGAAACAAAACTTGAGCTGAGTAAATACTACAGAAGTGCGGAAGTAGAGTTAACTTCAAGCTTGTTTGCTGCTTTTCTTGCTTTTCTTTTGCTTTTGCTTCAATTGAGTAAGGCCGGCTGCTGATATTTTCACATTACCAATAATTGCAGCAACTAGCTCAGGATCTGTACAGGCCTTCATCAACTCCTTCTCTCTGGTTGTTGCTTCTGACATGTGGCTGAACAAGTTCATTGCAGTTTTTGCAGCTGTACAAAAAACGGAAAAAGAAAAATAATTATGGCCACCTCTTGAAACAAATATCGACTACTCTAAAACAAACATAGATTACCATGGCCAGGGGAGGAGAGAGAGAGAGTATATCATAGACTCCAGGAAAGAAATAATACAACATGCAGCAAATGCAACAGTTACAGAACCATATGAAGATACTAGTCGCCAATTATGAAAGAACAAATATTCGAACTAAAAAGTAGTTTTCTAAGACTTACTTCTACAAGGTACTACTAGTCCAAAATACAAGATAGCAAAAAAGAAATACAGTAAATTAAATAATAATAATAATAATAATAATAACCTTTCCCTTTTTTCGCTGGTCCAGGAATTATCTTCACCCGATATTTGTAAGACTGAAGTGCACTGTAAGGACCACAGACAGGAACAGCATACAAGAGAATGTCATTAGGAAGTGGATTCCCAGTCAAGTAATCCACATCATTTAGTTTTTCTTTTTCTTCTTCTCCTATTTCATGAATATCATCTTCTTCCATTGTCACCCTGTCTGCTTGGGAAGTTTCAATATCAGTCATTTTGGGATTTTCTTCAGCTTCACCAATTGCATGCCTATGCATCAGATCATCTGATTGTTCCTTACAATCCCGAGACAAGTGACCTGGCTTCTTACACTTGTAACATATTTTTGGGGCTTCAACAGGACCTGCTACAATATCATATTACAAACAATAGACAATAAAACAAATTAAACACTGCGATAACTGCCATATAAATAAGTGTCTAATTTACAGTGAAATTTAGATCTCATAATTAGGTAACAGACAAGGTAGTGACACAATGAATTACAAAAACAAGTACACCACCACTGGGCAGTGAACCAAGCAGAGTCACTATTCAATCCTTCAAAGAGGCCCAAAGACTGTGCATGAACCAAATAGTGGAACTTGGTAAAGAATTTCCTGGAAGTTTGACTTGTGACACAGTCGACTTGTTTAGTTCATAAAACAAGTCTATTAAGACAATGAAAAAAAAACATTATACAAACTAAATTTATTACCATGAACAACTTCATATAAAATACAATATGCATGTTCATGAATCTATTAATGAAATGCTTGGTCCAGCTCAACTCAAATTGGCTCTCAAATCTAAATTATTTGAGCTAAACCAATCAGAATGGTTATATTATCTATTTTAGCCAAACTCAACAAACAAATTGATTCACATAATTACATGCCAAATTTTAAGGCAGTCGGATTGTAATCAAGCTGGGACCAAACTTGTTGGTTAGCTCAATCTCAGTAACACTAGTTATGAAACTATTTAGAAGGCTTACCGTTGCCAGATTTTTTCCCTTTGTCTAATGCATCATTTTCAGATGACGTCTCTTCCTTCTTGATTGATTTTCCAGAAGACTACAAATACCAGAAAAACAGGTTGACAGTTATAGGTGGAGCCAGGGAAATCAGAGGAAATATGCAAGAATTAGATGGGAAACAGTAATATGTTCTTGAAATTTTCCATTATGTGATCTCATGTTCTCCTACACTCATTTATTCAAAAGGTGTTTTAGGAATTACAGCATTAATTAAATTTAACATCTTTTGGACTCATCTTAGCAAATATAAAGCAGATGGTGCATGAGGCTAAAATATAAATTATTCTGTGGTTGGAAATGAATGGACATGTAAGCTACTGAACTCACAGCCAACAATGCCATTCGGATGTTCCTTTCTTCCTCATCCTGGTCAGCATACTTCTCCTTTATCTTTTTCAATTTTCCCTTCTGCCCACGGCTGATTTTTTGACCACCACCTTTTTTCACATTTTGATCTTCCTTTGCAGGTAGATTTGCAGAAATACCTTTCAGTTTCGGTTCATCCTTACCATGTTCAACATTTGAATCTGTATCTTCATGTTTCTGTTCTTTTTTAAGCTTTCGTCTCTCAGCTTTTGATACGTAAGGTTTATCCCTAACAGCTGCTTTACTTTGTTCCAAATGTTTATCACTGCCTAAATCAATTTGAGAGTTCTCAGTTCCATAAAGCTTACTTGGTTTAGCAACAGATCCAAGTTCCAGAGCTTGGTCAATAAGTTCCTCAAGTTGAGGGGGGACAGCAACTAAGCAATCTCTGCTAGTGTCTGATAATATCTCCCTATCAACCATATTTGATGTACTTGTCTCTTTCACAGGAAAATCACGTGAAATTTCCTTTTTGGAGCTGATAGTAGCCAAACCAGTTTGAGATGAATCTTTGGAAAAGTCTTCTGATAGGGGTTTGTGTGAATCTGCAGACAATTTACCATTCATTTCTGAGTCAGTGACAGATTTTATATCAACATCCTTCTCAGATTCTGAATCAGATTTGTCTTCGAGATTAGCATTTTCATAATCATCTGTTGCTTCCTCCTCTCCTCTCACTCTTCGTTCATTTAAATGTGATCCTAATGAACTCTCATCCAAGCGAAACAGTAGGCCAAAACCCATGATAAGAGGGTGTGGTGGAAGAAAATTTTTCTTTCCCCGGATCATGAAACTCCCTACTGTCAGATATTCACCTGTAGGAGCTGTTTTACTAACCTGATGAGGAAAAACCCACCAGGCACTAGTAACAATTTTTGAATCCCATGCCTGGCTATGGCAGACCTACATTCCAAATTGATGTGGTAAAGTTAACGTTTGGTTTATTTCACAACCAAAAAACTAAATTTAAATAACAAAGTATAGGCAGGTGTTAAGCATATACTGTGAAACATCCTGCTTGGTTTAGGGTCAGTGGTGGAACTGGCTGAACAGGCTTGTGATTCTTGATAACAGTACTAGAAGCTCCATGCAGATCAGCATGTACATACCTATTATATGAACAAATCAGAGATCATATACTTCAAAACAGAAAAATGTTTAAAATTTTAAACTGAACTTTTATTTCTAACGAACATTTACAGATGTTCCAGGTGCTTTATTAGAAATGGCATGGTAAAATTAATTTGAATTGAAAATAAAATTTACAAGATTCCAGCTTCTGAGAAGTCTTAAGACCAAAAATCTCCAAATTGATGAAGAGATATGAGAAAGTGCATAAAAGTCCATAGTTTTTCTATCTGAGGCTCTAAGGGGGAAAAATGAAAACTACAAGACGAGGAATGGTTTTCAAAAGAATACAAGTTGATGATGCAATGAGAAAATAAGATTAAGTTGAAGATAGATGGGTAGAACCAAATAACTATGAAAGTGCATCGAAGTCCATACTTTTTTTTTTTTTTTCTATCGTCGAGGTTTCAAAGATCAACAAATAAAATGCAAGAGAATAAATGATTTTGGAAGGAATACAAGTTGCTAATAGCTTGACGATGTAACAAAGAAAGATGATTAAGATGAAGAGAATACAAAAAGGGGATTATTTCTTCAACCACAAATCTTTTGGATATAAACCAACCTCAGATGTCAGTTACCAAACAAAGAAAACCAATGCACTCATGAGAAATAATTTCCAAGAACCTTAATTTGCAATGCCATGGCACTCACATCCGATGATCCCGCACAGTACAAACCCATACTTTCAATGTGGATTCAAGTCCCACAATTTGCAATTGAATAGCATTAGCTATGTTGGAACTGGGGAAAACCACCATAACTACCATAATACCTAACTCCCCCACCTCACGTCCCAGGTACTTCAGTGTAGCAATAAATTACAAACTAGCAAATCTCTAATTTTCAATGGTATTCGGTATTCCAACTCTAACAAAAGGAAGTTTCCCGTGATTTTCTTCATTGTTTGCAATATTCACAGTGATCTCAGAACTTTTTGAAATACTCAAATGTTCTTAATCAAGTATATAGGAAGTTTTGGTTAAATAAAATTTTCTTTTTCAAACGACATAGAATTTAACAGTCTTCAAATAATATTGAGACATGTCAACAGTTAAGTGTTTATCATTCAAAAGAAGATAGAATCTGAACCATGCTAATATTATTTTCAACATTACTCAACATTTAAGCATTAGCATCAAGGAGGTAGAAATTTATGTGTAATATAACAAGAAATACTCACAGGTCTCCCTTTGACATATACCGCTTTACTATCAGCTCATTTTGCTGTGCATCACGTCCACTGATAACCAAATAGTTCTCACTGGTAATGAACCAATTAAATTTCTCAAACCAGTGGACTTTGCGCATATGTGAAATTGAGGCAACAGTTTTTTCCTGGAAATAAATTTGATAGGAAACATATAATTAATTTAGTTAAGTAGAGATATCAGGAATGCAGAAGAAATCAGACTAGGGTTGCATATGAACGTATTACAGATATAAAATTGGAGAAAAAAAACCTATTGTTAATTTCTATTTTAGAGAGAATCGATAGGGAATAAAAAGACCATTGATAAACTTCTAATTTGGAGAGAAGACACCAAAGATGACAAAATATGATCAAAGAAGGAAATTCAGAAGCATCTTTAAAAAAATAAAACAGTTTCATGAGAGCAGAGAAAGTATCGAAGCAGATTATAATAAATTTGCCTAGGCAAGATCCAGAAGAATATACAGGATAAAAAAATAATAGGCACAAGTTGACTTGTATGTCCTACCACAAATGGAAACCCAATTAAGTAACAAACTTATAATGCATATATATAATATGATCATAATGACCCAATAAACTTGAAGTTGGAATGAGACAAACTCTGCAAAATAATCACACTGCTTAATTCTTCCAGTAATTACATACTGCATCTTTAGTTTTTTAAGCCTCAAATGAACTGAATAGGGGTCTAGTTCCCAGTCAGATTGGTGATCTGATTTTGAAAAAAAATGATTAATAAGCACCCAAACACTTAGGAAACCCTACCATAAAAGATGCTTATAAAGGGAGCGGGATAGAAAAAATCACTTAGACCCCACAAATTAAAGTCACATAGCATTGTTCCTAAGAGCCAACATCACAGCAGCACACACTCTAAGACGCTTCACTCAGCAATTTTGGTCAGCCCTTTGAGACATTCAACCAACTCTAACACCATTTGTTAATCCTGAGAGAACCAAACTACAAAAGCTAGCTGCTTTAGTCAGGGTGCTCAAGGCCTTATAAACCCACATCAGTACCCTATACTTCAATGCCGGATGCAAGTCCCATACCTTGCAATTGGATCCTTATAGATAGCAATCTAATATCTGCACATTAATTTTCAATATAGATTAAAGATTCACCAATAAAATTTTTAACCACCTGATTAAGCTGTAGGCGAGTCTTTCTTTCTGCAGCTTTAAAAGCCTTTTCATGGGCAGTTACAGTTTTTTCCTGTTTGCTCTCCTGCTTTTTCTTCTGTTCATACCACCTCCGAGCATTGGCATGAGCTGAAAGAGCTAAATCAACTTCAACCTGGAACATCAAGATACTATAGTCAGTAATGTTAAACATTCAGGAGAAAAAAACAATAAAAATCAGCATTTCAAAAACAATGAAGAAAATCGGTGAGGATAGTGATAATTTAAGAAGAAAAAGTGATAATGCCGACTTATAGACATAAGACTAGCCTATAGGAGAAGAAAATAAGGTAAACATCATTGGCATGTTTAAGTGGTTGGAACATAACTCTTTTTTTTAAAAGCTTTAAATGATGCATCAGATAGCTTTGCTATGTTTTCTTTTATTACTTTATTGTTTACTATTCACCCTTTTTTGAGGAGGATCATTATCCTCCCTTCTCTTTGTACTTTTCTCTGAATGACTTTATTGCTTTGCATGATAAATAAATAAAAACCTTATCCACAGGGAGTGTCTTCTCATCATCATCCATCTCATCAAGATTGTTGCTTAACAATAAAGTCATGCAGTTCCTCTCAAGATGGAGCTTGTCGATGAGGCCAGCTACTGGATTTCCAGCTTTCTTTTCTTCCTTTACCATCCGAGCAAGGTCATCCCAGTTCATACCTTTTGCTAGAGCTACTCGAACAGCTAATATAGCAGCATCCACATCTTCCAAGTTATATTCTATCAATTCTGCCATCTTAACGCATTGATCAGCTTCTTTCCTCAAAGCATGTACTCGATTTTCCTACATAGAAAAAATGAGATATATTATGCTAAGTATCAGATGCCCTAAATATTTATTTGAAGTTATAATTGTGTCCAGTATTACCACTTGCAACCATAAATAATTGTTTTAATTTATAGATGGAACCAGCAGTTAAAGATACACATGTTAAAATTCACCCCTTTGATGAATCTGAAGTAAAAAAATGGAATTTAGAGCTTATTTGGTTCAAAAAAACATGTTTTGTCTTCAGTCCTATCATGTAATTAATGAAAATAAAAGAAGAAAACTGATAACAATTTTGGAAACCAAATAGGCCCCCTTTATTTTCCTGTCCTTTGTAGCAAGACAATTATAATTTCAAGTAGCACAGCCCAAATATTTATATTTTGCAAAATGGAACCACATGTCCAAACGAAAAATTGAAACCACCACGAACACAATCTGGTAAATATTAAAAATTATAGGAGATCATATTGCCATAACATAATATATAATAATCTAAACCAAACATAAAAAAATTGAAATTACAAGAGAATTTGTTTTAAAAATGAGCACAAGTCATTAGAAACATAATAAACAAAACAAATTATTTATTGTTGTATTCAAATCAATATTAGTACAAACGTGTAAAAAACAAAAGAACAAAAATTAAAAAAGGGAATTAAAATAATTTAAAACAGTGATAAAGACACAACGCAACCACTATTTATAAATGTCCATCATATTCAGTAGGATAATGGGCCTCAGAGGATACAACTATTGCCTATTGCATCTTTTAAAATACACTTTCAAATCCACATGCTTTATGTTCAACAAGAGTTTTGACACCACATGCATTGAGGATCTAACTCAAACAAGAACAATGGACACTAAGAAATACTACCTTTATATGATCCAAAAGTGAGATATTCAATTAACAAGATTGTGTGCCACATGGCTCATGACTTTTAAATAAGTGTGTTGCCAGTTTGGGCAACGCTAAATAAGTGTGTTGCCAGTTTGGGCAACGCTACCAACCTGATCCTGGCGAATCTTATTAAGTTTCTGAGCAGCTGTGTTTTCTTTGGCTTTCTGCTGCTGTTCAGCTCTTTGACTCTCAATTTTGCTGTAGAACTCATCTAAGGCTGCATCAAATGTCTCAAATTTTGTATAATCCCTTGACTTAAACTGGTTGAGTAAGATGGGGCAGAACTCATCATACATCTGTGTCAAAAGACACAAATATGTTAACACTAAATTCCACAAACATCTGAGTAAGAAGTTTTTTACTATTTTCTCCTCAAAGTTTATAGTGCTGCTAAAATTACAGAGAAATAGAACATAACCTGGCTAACACTTCCAGGCTGAGATATTGAAGAATTGTTCCCCAAATTTTTGTTCTGCATCACAATGTATCCTTCAGGGACGACTTCACCTGAAATAACATCCTGCATCCAATCTTCAAATTTCACAACAGCTTGGACCAAAGCCTGAATAGTAGCATTATCCCACGTTTTATCTTTGGGAACTTTTGTACTTGGAATTAGGCCAGCATCTAATATTATATGTTCTGAAAGTGCAGGTCCATAACCAAGTGCCTCCCCAAGGACAATTTTCAGTGTTGATACCTTGCCACCTTTTTGGGTTCCCTGCTTCTCTTTTGCTACACTAGAAGCATTATTTCCATTTCCATTGACCTTAACAGTCTCATCGCTATCATCTTCCTTGGAAGACACCAGAGATGCCCACAACTTTTCAATAGTAGTTCGCTCAAAAACTCTACAACTTTCAACAGGATAACGATGACGTGACATAATTGCAAGCCCTTTATCATCGTCCCTGTTAATGACAAATGGCAACCACTGTTAATCACAGACATTTTCAAAATCCCAATTATAGGTAAATTAAATAACCAACAACCCATGCCCCAAAGAACATAAAAAAAAATGCAAGCTAATGGATTCTGAAAGTGAAGTAAAACAATGTTAATTAATTGGTCCCGATTAAAAAGCAAGGTCTGATGGCATAACACACCATGCCAATTAGCTCGACTAGGCATGAATAAAAGATTCAAATCTAAAAATGCAATACATACACAATCAACGGGACACTCTCATGATCCTACAAAATGCACACTTCACTCTCAACAGAAGATCCTATGATTGTGAGCTGGTGAAAACATAGGTTACGGGGATTCAAACAGTCCCTCCTTAATATTTTATAGCACAGTAGTTTTATGGTCTGTTCAGGTAAACTTGTCTAGAAACACTTTAAAAGAAAAGAAAAGAAGGAAAAGTGAAATAAGTTTCCCCAAGTTTGCGGCGAAGTCAATATAATATGAAAGAACTTCTACAAATGCATAAAATAAAAGAGACACTTATGTCATTCTTGTTTTTATTTTTATTTTCTTCTTACATAAATAAACATGAAGAATCTGCTCTAAAGGAATCCTAGACAGAAATGGGAAGTAGAGGACAGAATAGAAATTAGCAAGAACCTGTGAGACCGCAGCAGAGTCATGACGGTAAAACTAGAATCTGTGAGGAGGATATTCCCCTGAGCATACAACTCCAATATAACATAGTTCGCATTCTCCCCAAGTCCAAATTGGAAGAGAATAATCTGCCACAGTTTTCATAGAAAAGAAAATTATACATTTTTTTTGGTTTGCGAAATAAAAAAAAGTTGGTGGATGGTATATGGAAAGAGGGTTACACTATACCCGATCGTACCCAAGTTGGCGCACATCCTCGAGCCTCCTCGTACGAATATGCTTCCTCAATTTGAGAGTGAAACCAGAAGGCGTGTTGCTCTTGTCACGCATGTAGATAGTAGAATGCAATCTCACGCCACTCTCCATGAGCAGTAGAACCTTCTCGCTCTCCCCAGATTCCTAAACTCCACTTCTGTTCATCAGCTTAAACACGTAGGTCTGCAGAGAAGGAAAATGGAATCAAATCGAATTGAGGAAAGTGAAAGAACGAAAAATGAAAAGGGAGGAGCTACCTTTGGAGAAAGATCGTAGACGTTGGAGCACCTCATTCCAATGAAGCGCCGGAGGCATTTAACCTCGGCGGCTACATCGGCGGTGTTCATTCGCACCTTCACCATCTTGTGTTAGGGTTTTGATAAATTAGTGCGAGGGGGTAGAAGAAGAAAAGAATATAATTTTATAGTGTGTTTTGATTTAATTAATTAGAATGGTTTTGGAGAAGAAGAAGAAGAGGGAAGAGCATGAATGTATGTTCTGTTCTGTGTTTGGTTGCAGGGAGAGGAAGAGAGACAAGCGGAGGCTTTTAGTCTTACTCTTTTTTGGATTATTTTTTCTGTTTTAAACAACTTTTAATTGTATATGATGAAAATACATATATGTCTTTCCTTAATTTGTTGATTTAATAAAAAGTATTACATAGTTTTGATAGTTAATTATGTTCAAAATATATAAATAAAGATTTTTTTTAGTGTCCACTTTTTCTTTCTATTTTTACTTTTTTAAGTTTTATTTTATTTAAATTTAACTACTTTTTAAAATTAAATAAATAAAAATCATCTATAAAATAAATAAAAATCATTCACAAAAATAAATAAAAATTATGTATAATTAAATTACAAAATTATTTATATTTATTTTTATAACTATAATTTCATTATCATTTTATTAAAAAGCGAAAACAGATGCATAATTTGTTTTCACTAATTAATATATATATATATATATATATATATATATATATATATATAACCTATTAGATAAAATAATAAAATGAATTAAATATTATATACAATAAAAGAACTATTACAAAAATAAATTTCCTTAAAATTGTCTGTTGTACACAATTTTTTACCATTATCCTTTACATAACTATTTTTTAATTAAAATAATTACGTAACTGCATTTTAAATTTTATTATTTTTATTTGACCATTATTAAAAAAATTCTATTTACTAAACTTAAATATCTATTTGCAATAAAAACTATAAAAAAATGTTATGATTATAATAATAATTTTATTAACTTTGGTTATCATTAAAAAAAACTTTAATTGTAACAATTGTTTTCACTAATATCTAAAACTAATATTAAATCGTGAAATGATTTTTATTTATTAAAATAAAAAAATATTAATAAATTATAAAATACCTTTAATAAAAATAACTAATTTTATAATTTTTAATCATCCAAATGAATTTTTTATGACTGAAAAAGATAAAATTAAAAAAATAATCTTTTAGCATTTGTAATTATTGAATTTAAGAAAAATAGTTCTTAAGAAGATAAAATTAGAATAAAATTTATTTATTAATTTAAAAAATTGTTATTAAAAAAATAAAGATAAAAAAAAAGTGTGAATATCAAAGGGACACGTATTGGTGGTAAAGTCTATTTAGTAAATGTCCTTGGAATGAATCTAGGACCTATGACTAACTTTATACTTCTATGAGCTGTATGATTGAAAGATAATCAAGGGTAGATATGTAACTCATTTATGACCACACTGATAATTTAACCTCTTTAAATATATATTCCCATTCATATAAAATACATTATTTATGTATGATCGTACGCAATGCCATGTTTGATAATATCAAGTGTAAGTTAAGTTCGATCCTGAAACTTTTAATTCCATAGGACTTTAGTGATACAAAACAATATCCCACCGTAATTATTTTTTGCCAAATATATTTACATTTAAGGACAAATTGACAGAGAAGATGAAAATGAATATTATGTACATGACACTCCTATCCTCAGTTCACATTACATCGGATATTCTAGTAAAAAATACTACTGAACCTCTACTGCTGTGGAAAAGAAATCATGCGGTAAATTGCTGTGCCTCCTTTTAACTCAAATCAAATCCAGCGTCAGCATTAATGGCATACAATAATTTGGTTTCCATTTGCTCTTTACTGCAGTGAACAATGAATGAGTAGGTTTGCCAGATAAAAAACATAAAAAAGATGCAAAAATGAATCAAGAACATGCAACAATCCATGAATATTGACAAGACTTAAGAAAAATAGTTCCCGTTATCGTGGCTCAAAAACTAGTTTTCCAGTCGTAACCATGGAAAAATTTGAGGGAAATAATACTGCTCAAATAGAAATCATAAACGAGAGATATGTCCTCCCTCGAGCTTCAACAATGTTCGGACTAAAATTAGCGTTAACAATTATTATAGAGAAGTTCTAATATAATGCTGATATCCACAATCCCCAAACATTAAGGACATTCACAAAAAACATCGTATTTAATGAGTTAATATCCAATAACCACCTAATAAGGTTTCAGATCAGGTAAAAAGGTTTTCAAATTTTTAAATCTGCTAAAGATAATATTTCAATATTTCAAACAACACTACAATCATTAGACTTCCGTGAATCTTGTGCACACTTATGTCAACAAGACGGTGTAATGTCAAATCGAGAGAATACTCGTAAGATTATCTCGATTAATTTGTGTTTCCAATCTAATTTCTCTCTCTCTCTCTACACATACTCACCGCTATAAATTGACAAAGCAAAATTTCTCCTTACTTATGTCAGTGTTATTAATTCTAAGATCTTTAATTTTCAAACCACTCTACAACGGTAGAGACAAACAAATTTTAATGTACATACTACAAACTGTAAACACAAGCTAGTACTATAACGAACCTTTTATAAGGTGGAAGCTTTAGTAAATTCATACAGGTGGCTGATGTCGGTAATCGGTCAAGAGCTTCCTCCGAAGCATTACCACCGGCCCTATAATAAGAGACATCAGACAATTCCAATATGATTCTTCTGTCTGTAAAATATACCAGCTCTGGTAGAAATGAATTAGAGCAAATATTTAATATAATCAAAGCATACTTTTGTATGCAAAACAAAGGTTCAAGATATCGGAATCCAAGCAATGGTCCCCGAGAGCAACCTGTCACAAATCTGTAAAGATAATAAATTTTTATCCCACAAACATGTCATAGAAGAGCAAATAAATGTTATTGCGGTGTACATCTTACTTCAAAAAGTTTCTTTTGTTTTCTGATGAAAAGCCTTTGAGAACTTCCCAGAACGTCTCAATAACATAATCCTCCTATCAGAAGAAAACATAAGTCAGAATTCACAAGTATAAAAAGAAAAACTGATAAGCCAAAATGGTTCAAATGCTAAGACATTCAGACTATTGATATTTACACTAAGATAGATGGAAAAGATAAAAAAACGTAAGCTACTAGATCAGCAAACATCCCTTTTATGTAGAAAGTAAAAATCGGGAGATCGCAAGCTATCCTCCAACGTGGAGGAAAGAGAAAACCAAGTTGGAGGAAGTTCCCGTGCAACAGAAACCAGAAGATGAAAACATAACCAGATCCAGTAATTGGTTTAGAAAGAGCTGCCCTTAAAGAATCAGATCACTATGCACCAACCAAATGCTATGCTCAAAAGTTAAAAGATTGAAAAAACTACATTGTCCCACGGAAATTGTTCTTTTGTTTGACCAAGACCCTAATGTGAATCAAATTAGATCCAATGTTGAATGACAAACCCAATGCATTCAGAACTTCAAAATACTCACATTACAGAGTTAAAATGTAAAAACAAAAGCTCCACAGTTAATGAGCTTATTGAATTTAAAGGAGCTGATTTAGGATTCAGTTACTTGAGTGGAGATGGGAAGAATTTGGCGACCATATTTTATGTGCTCACTTCAAAAATTAAGGGTTTCTTTGGATATGTTTCTCCACGGTCGTTTATAGTTAGGAAAAAGAACAACAAAAAAAAAACAATTATTTGATACGAAACGTCTACAAATTAACATATGTATTAATTAATTTAACTTACGGAGAGTTTTTTTGTTTTTTCTTTTCATTTTTCCTTCTTTATTCTCTTTTTTTATTAAATATTTATATACGGATTTATCCATATAGGCCTTAAATGGGTACTTTCTCCTAGGCTGAGTAACTCCATGATTGATTTATACATCAATAAAAGACATGACATTTCTCTCATAGTTTCTACAATCTCAATCTTATCTATCTTCAAAATCCAACAATTAATTATAGGAAAAAAACAAAAGTAAGCAAAAGAACAATCTCGGGAATGTTTCAGTTAGGGTATCATTTAAATGTTTCTTGCTTTTGCATGACTGACTAAATCCTCACATAAATACTAGAAAGCTTACACTACGATAGCCTCCTGCATAGTTCGTATGCTGCCGTAAATCATCAACATCCAAGCTGTCAAGTGAACCTGATATCAAAAGCTATGGAAAACAATAGTGTGAAGCAAGTTGAGTTACATTGAGACAAATTACAGATTCTAAAAGAAAACTTGAATTAGTTGAAAACTGAATCCAGAAAGATTGGCAGTCAAACAATGTGTATAAAAAAATTCAGAAAACTATTGAAGTTTATCAACAAATAAGTATTCTAAAAGTCCAAGCCTTCCAACTACTACATGTTCACAAAAAAACTATGGCTATTGGTTACAATACATGGATATCATTCGGAATGCACTTTATACCCTCTTAGAATTTGAACTTCAAGACCAAACTCAATTTCATAAAACAAACTTTTTCGTCTGCACTTCCTAAACTTTCTATGCTTTACTTTAAGTTTTATATCTGGATAATGTGGGACCCCTTGAGACTATGGTTAAGGAAGTTGTCAAAGAGGTTGCAACTAATTGTGGACTAGGGGTGCTTGCGGTACTTGATGAAACCCCTTATCTACCTATCTTGCGTTATATGTATTTGTAGAGCCACAGCATTTTCCTTGACTCTATAAACCCACAGTCAACAACTTGTCTATGAGGAGGTAGAGATACAAGTCCAATGTATTTTGCTGCATAAGTGCATCATATTCCTGCTGCATTGCAGCCCGAGAATTAGCATCCTCAACAGCTTGCTTAACCATTTCA